CCATCTCCCTCCCCTCCATCTCCCTCCCCTCCATCTCCGTCCCCTATCTCCTTCCTCCATCTCCCTCCCCCATCCCAATATCCTCCTCTCCCACCTCCCACTTATTTCCTCACCTCCTCATTATCCTCCTTGCCTCCCCCCAGCCCCTATCCCTCTTCAGGATACTTCCCTATTCAGGTCCAAAAGAGCAACCCCCCACCCCTTCAACCGAGGTCTGGAAATGCCCAGTTAGGGGATGCATGGTGGTGGAGGGGCAGAGGAGTTGGGTTCGGCCAACTTGGCATTGGGCCTGGGGTTCTCTGAGGGGCTGGGGTAACCCTTCTTGTCTCTGTTTGCAACCTGGTGAAGCAGGCAGGAGACGTACAGGTCAGATCCGTGTCTGGGACCTTCTGCATGGCTCTTGGCTCACACCACCCTCACCCCCTCCCCAGCCCCCTCCAGAATACCCCCTCCCCTGTTCCCCATCCATCCTCCTTGGCTCTCATCTCCCATCCTTCTTCCATCCCTTCCCCCCAGCCCCATCCATTCCCCTCCCAACCCCCAGCTTCTGGCAATTTGATTTTTTTTTTTTAAACTTTGTTAAAAAAAAAAAAAGTTCTCAGCTTTGTGAAAGCATTGTGGGCTGAGGTCCAGGAGGACAGGGGTGGGAAGGAACGTGCATGGCTGGGAGGCAGCACTCTCGCCCTGCAGTGGAAGGCTTGGTCTCTGGACTCAGACAGACCTGGGTTAGAATCCTGACTCTGTGGGGAGTCAGCTGTGTGACCTTAGCCAAACGTCATACCCGTCGGAGCCTCTTCTGGCATCTAACCAATGGCCTGGAGCCCCAGGGCTCTGCAAGGACTCTGAGATGCAGCATGGGTGGCCTTCAGCAGTGCCTGGCACATGGGCCATGCTCCGTCTGCTAGCCAGTGTGGATGTGGCTCTGGCTGAAGCTTGTCACTGGGGCTTCTCACTGGCATGACTGGGGTGGCATCGACCACGGGTCTGCACCAGGGCTCCAGAACACAGATGTGGGACTCTCTGCCCTGTGTCTCTGCCTCCAGATCTTTCTGGGTCTCTCTTGTCTTCTGTCCCCGTCTCCTTGTCCGTCTCTCACTGTCTTTCTTTTTGTTCCCACGACGCTTGTCTCTTGGGACTCTTTGTGGTTCTGCATCTTCATTTCATTCTTGGGGGTTCGGTCTTGGAATATGAAGTTTGGGGTTCTGCATGTTATGGGGGGTGGGGGGAAGCATACTGGGGGTTCTTAAGTGATTCTGGGAGAGGGCTGCCAGAGGTTGAGAAAGGCCCAGAGTTTGGGAGAATCTGGAAGGGTCTGAGATAGAAGTTGGGAATTTGGGATGGGGACTTGGGCTTGGGAGGGTCTAGGGTCAGGACTTGGGGTCTGAGGTGAAGGATCAGCCAGGTAGGGTAGAAAATGAGGTGCACCCTGAGGTGAGGGGGTGCCTGGCATCCAGGCTGAGGACCAGAGTACGGGCAATGGCTGTGGGTTGGGGCATGGGGCTGGGTTGGGGCATGGGGCTGGGCTGGCACTCAGGCCAGCACTGAGCCCTGTGTCCCCACAGTCAGGTGGCTCGGACCAGGAACGCACCAAGAAGAAGCGCCGGGGGGATCGGTACTCAGTGCAGACGTCACTGATCGTGGCCACGCTTAAGAAGATGCTGCCCATTGGCCTGAACATGTGTGCACCCACTGATCAGGAGCTCATCGTGCTGGCCAAGATCCGCTATGCCCTGGTGCCTACCCAGCCCCACTAGGCCCCTGGGACCCTACTGAGTCCCCAGGATCCCACTGAGCCCCCCAGGACACTGGGAGCCCTTCCCTAGGGCTCTACTGAGTCCTCCCCCAGGACCCTCAGGACTCACTGATTCCCCTGGGATGCCCTGAGCCTGCCCCCAGTATGCTGAGGACCCCACTCAGGACACTGCCAGGGCCTCTGGGACCTATGAACCCTAACTGGGACTCCATTGAGGCCCCAGGAATGCCACTAAGACCCCTGGGATCCTATTGACTGTGTAGGAACCCACTGAACTCCCTGGGACCCAAGGACCCTACCCCTAGTACCACACTGAGCCTCAGGATTCCTACTGACACTACCCCCCGCCCCCAACCATGCCAAACCTGCTGGGACTCTGAGGACCCCACCTCAAGATACCACTCACCCCCTGAGACTCCTCTAAGCCTTCCCCCCAGGACCCCAAAAGCCCTTTGGGACCCACTGAGCCCCTCATGATCCCACTGACCCTCCCCAGGACCCTTGGAACTGAACCTCTGGTTCCCCACAGAGCTCTCCAGCTCACCACCTCTCTCCCTCAGGACCTTGCTGACCCCTCCCCTGACTGTTGACTGCACTGAGCCCCCAAGGACTCTGGAATCTTCTGAACCCCCACGGCTCTCAGTAGCCCCCCAGGACACTAATGACCCCCTCCTAATGACCATGCCAAACCCTCTACGATCTCTCAGATCTTCTGGGGATCAACTGATCCCTCCTCTAGATCGCTCTCTGTTTCCTCTGGGATCCCAAGAAGGCCTCCCAGCACCCTTGTATCAGGCTGAAGGAACTACCTGCCCTCCATGCTCCTTTTCAGCCTCTAGGACCCTAGGGAGACCTCCCAGGATCCTGCCCGAGACTCAGAAACCCTCCCTTTAGGACCCTGCCAAGCACCCTGACTACCTACTAACCCCTTTGGGCTCTGAAGACCACTAACACGCATCACAAGGATCCTCTTTCCCAGGACCCCAAAAGCCCCTTCCCTCAGCACCTCAAGCTCCTTCTAGGACCTGTTGAGTCCCGCCAGGATCCCAAAGAGCTCCCCAGGGCCCCACTGACCCCTCATCTTGGTACTTGAGGATCTCCCTTTCCTGGGACTGTAAGGAACTCCCACCCTGATCACCCCTCCTTTGGTCCCTGTGTAACTCTCACCAGTGACTTGGTTGACCTCCTTGATCTCCCAGTGACCTTTGCTGACCTTGTCAACTCCCTTACAACCCCTTCAATCTTCACAAACTCCCTGCTTATCTCCCACTAACTCCCAGACCCACTCTGACCCTGAGAATCCCTCTTTGGCCTTATTTGGCCTTTGATGACATCTTCTTATCACCCCCTACCTCCCAGACCCCCACGAGGCCCCTCAAATCCTCGCTGTCTCTTCAAGGTGCCTCTGTGGCCCTCTGGTCCCCTCTAGGATGCCCCTCTGACCACACCTGGACCGTTTCAGTTTGTCTCAGATCCTCCCCATACAAACCTCCTTCCAGGCCCTGGTGGGCGGGTCTAGAGGGGAAGGGTTGTGCGTCTCGGAGGACGCTGGGTCCTCCAGAGTGACCCCGCCTGGCCATGTCTCCCCAGAAAGACACAGATGAGGAGGTCCGGGAGTATCTACAAAACAACCTTCATCTTCAGGGAAAGGTATGACTCCCTAATGTGCAACCGAAAGGGGCGTGTCGAAATAATAACAGTAACAGCCAGTGTCTGAGCACTTACTATGTACCAGGCATTGAACGAAGGGGCTTAACAAGCACTCGCCCACTGAATCTCCACAATATTGAAAGGGCGGCGGGGCAGCCGGGTAAGCTGCTTTTGCGGGGAGGTGCCTCACGCCGGCCGTCCTTCCTCCCCTCAGGTCGAAGGCTCCCCTTCTCTGCGCTGGCAGATGGCTCTGTACCGGGGTCTCCCGGGCCGCGAAGAGGACGCCGACGAACCCGAGAAAATCGTGCGCAGAGTCCAGGAAGTGTCGGCCGTGCTCTACCATCTGGAGCAAGTGGGTGGAGCCGGAGGATCTTAATGCTGAGTGGCTGAAGCTTGCATTTCTGGGCGGGGCCTGGGGGGGGACTCGAATATGTGGGCGGGGCTTGGGGGCAGAACCTTAATATAGGGGCGGGGTCTGGAGAGGAACTTGGATCTATGGGCGGGGCCTGGGGTGATGAATATTGGGTCTGTGGGCCAGGCCGGAGGGGTGGGACTTGGGTTTGCGGCTGGAGCCTGGGATGGAGCCTTAAGTGTAAGTCAAAACCGAAAATGGATCTGGGGCGGGGCCTGGCGCAGGGCCTTCGGTCTGGGCTTGGGGCCTAGCGGGACACCTTGAATCTGTGGGCAGGGCCTCGGGTTTGGGGCGGGGCCTGGGCAGGGAGCCTGGGCTTGTGGGCGGGGCCTAGGATGGAAACTCCGGTCTGGAGGCGGAGCTTAGGTCAGAACCTTAAGCTGGGTAGTGGAACGAAGGTGTCCCTTTGGCTCTGTGAGTGGGGCCTGAGTTTGGACCTGGGTACAGATAGGCGGTTTCACCTGGGGCGGGAGCAGGGGCGGATTAACCAATTAGCAAGGTACGCACGGGTTTACTTGTGCTTACTTACTACTTACGTCTTTACTGTGGTGAAAAGCAGGTGAAATCGTGCGCTACAGATTAGTAAGTAAGCACAAGGTAGCCCGTGCGTACCTTGCTTATTGGGTAATCCGTCCCTGAATGGGAGTGAGAATCAGACCGGGGCAGGGTCTGGGGACATGACAGACTGTCCCGCCCCTCAGATAGAGCATCCTTACAAGTCCAAGAAGGCTGTGTGGCACAAGCTCTTGTCCAAGCAGCGCCGGCGGGCGGTCGTAGCGTGTTTCCGCATGACCCCCCTGTACAACCTGCCCACGTAAGGCTCCCGCGGAGGAGGGAAGCTGACAGGGTGGGGGAGAAAGGGTGGCGCGGAGGCGGAAGGTTGGAGTGCCTACAGGTTGGGGTCTTGGGGTGTCGCTGGGGGAGGCAGATGCGTGGGAGGCCAGAGCAGGCTTGGAGGGGGTGGGGAGGTCTCAGCGACGCCTCAGACTTTCTGCTGCAGGCACCGGGCATGTAACATGTTCCTGGAGAGCTACAAGGCTGCATGGATCCTGACTGAAGACCACAGTTTTGAGGACCGCATGATAGATGACCTTTCAGTGAGCTGGAGCCTGCCTGGGGGTGTGGGTGGTCTGGATACGGCTAGGGGCTGAGGCCGCCAGGTGGCCACCGCCCTTACATTGAGGTCTATGGAAATGGCAACCTCTGGAGTATATAGCTCTGGCTTGGACAGGGCCAGGGGAGGGGACAGGGTGGGGGAGAAGAGAAAAAGTCCAGCCTAGTAGGGCTGAGGGAGGAGACAGGAGGGGACGCCGGAAATCCCTCCGCAAGCCCCATCCCTCCCCTCAGAAAGCTGGGAAGCCAAAGGAGGAGGAGGAGGAAGAGGTGGAGAAGAAGCCAGACCCCCTGCATCAGCTGGTCCTGCACTTCAGCCGCACGGCCTTGACTGAAAAGAGGTGAAGACCCTTCCCCGGGCCTTAGAGACGTCCCCAGGGTCTCAGGGAAGACACCCACTACCCACCCCACCCCCCAGCAACCTCTCTGTGCCTCAAGAGAGACCCTCTGTGGGGGGGAGCCCCACAGCTGATCCTTTAGTCACTACTGGGACAGGCAGGACAGCCATGTACCATTGTACAGGCTGAGCCCCTCACAAGGGTGTTTCGTCTGAGGAGTCACATCACTGACCATGTAAGCTTACTAGAATTTTCCAACAAAAAGTGTCTTGCTCAAACAAAATCTGTATATTGCCACATTTCCAACAGATGGAGGTGAGGAAGGGGGTAGTTTTTTCTAATTCCCACAAAGGCTTCATGTAAGCTAATGGAAGTCTTGGGAATAAATAATAGTAGTAAGGATGCTGCTGCGGGTGGTGACGACAGATTTAACAAGTGGCTATTATGTGTCAGGCACCATGCTGGCACTTGACATGTGTGTGTTCATTCAGTGTCCACCCTATGAGACAGGTACTATTACTACCTTTTTTGTGAATCAGGAAACTGAGGCATAGGAATTTATTTTTCCCATATAACATGAAGTCAGGAGGTGGACAGTCCAGAGCTGCTGCAGTGGCACAGTGCCACTGGCAGGGACACAGGCTCTTTCTAGCTTTCTGCTCTGCCATTCTAGCTTTTGTCTTCACGGGTATTGCCTCATGGCCACAAGATGGATGCTGCACTTCCAGGCATCATGCCCACCTTCCAGGCAGAAAGACAGGGAAAGGCTTTTTCTTGTCCCTAAGCAAGACCAAAGTCTTTGATCTGAGAGGGGAAGTTCTCCCCAGTGGACTTTTTGCCACCTGCAAAGGAAACCAGGAGGTTGAGTGTTCTGCTTTCCGCCCTCTGGGGGGGAACATAGTGTAGTGGTTGAGAGCACGGACTCTGGAATTAGACTCTCCAGCTCTGAATCCCAGCACTCATGTGCAATCTTTGTGGCCTTGGCCAAGAGGACTCTTTGTACCTCAATTTCCTCATTGGTAAAATGGGGCTAATCGTATACCTACCTAATAGGATTATTGGAGCCCTAGTGTCAGAATGGTTAAGAGCTCAGCTGCTTAACCAAAAGGTCAGCAGTTCGAATCCACCAACCGCTCCTTGGAAACCCTATGGGGCAGTTCTACTCTGTTGTAGAGGGCCTCTATGAGTCGGAATAGACTCAACAGCAATGGGTATGTGTGTAATAGGATTGTTATGAGAATTAGTTTGTTAATATATGTAAAGCATTTAGAACAGGGACTAACACAGGGTAAACACTCCACTCAATAGGGGTTAGTCATTATTATTGTTACTACTGAGAAAGAGAAGGAGAAAGTGGTTGGTCATAGTTGTTGAGTGAGCGCAAAGGTGGCAAGATTGCCGCGGAGGCTCCAGAATTCCTTTACACCACTTTAACAACCAGTAGAAAGAGAGTGCCTCTATCAACAGCTCCAGCAAAACTCCCAGAATGAATTTTATATGCCCGGTGTGAATCACATGACCATCCCTTACTTATTACTGCAGTCAACCAGATGGAAAATGCTGATTGGCTAAGCCTTCCTCACATGCCCACCCTGGCAACGGGGTCAGGGGTCCACCCACCTGAACCACACAGCCTGAGGGTGGGGAGGGGTGGCAGGCCAAAGGAAAACCAGAAGCTGTTGTAAGACGGGGGTCCTGTCCACCGGGTTCTCACAGTCTCCATGTTCCTTCCTCAGCAAACTGGATGAGGATTACCTCTATATGGCATACACGGATATCATGGCAAAGGTGAGGCCAGATTCCCTTCTCCCCAGCTCTAACGCCAGCCCACTGAAAGGCCTGAGGGCGGATTGGGGTCCGTGGCATCACTTCGGAGGGGTGCGGGGGGCACAGACCGCAGTGGGTGACATTGTTAGAGGGAGTGACGCCAAAATGACTGTCTAGGAAGTTTTTGTGCCGTGCTTCAGCAGAAACTTATTATTTGTTATAAAAATATCCTTGTAGTTATGACAACAGAAACATTTTTTGTAAGCCCAGCTTGCATGTATCAATACACCGACAAGGCTGAAACTCTATGCTAATTTACTTTTTGAACCTTCTAATGTGCTCTGGTCAGAGCTGTCATTATTACCCAATTACAATGACGCTTCCAATCACGTGGTTTTGTCGGCACGCGCTACGAACCCGCGCTGTTGTTTTTGCTGCTGGCGGTGTTGTTTATAGTCGCTGATTTTGTCGTTTTCTGGGGTTTTAGCTACAATCTTGTGGTAATTGGCATGGGGGAGAAGTGACACCAACTCTATTGATGCTCCTGATCAGGGTATCTCCTTTGCTTACCGTCGTGTTTAACTTATACCCTATTTCCAGAGCTGCCACCTGGAGGAGGCCGAGGAGGATGTGGGTGCTGAAGAGGTTGAGGTTTCCTTTGAGGTAGGTGGGCTCAGAAGGCCCTGGAGGAAAGGGCTGGGGGACCCTGACCTGGGCGTTGCAATCCACCATTTATTTAGCACGTGTTCACAGAGCAGTGCTCAGGGCCTGGCCTTGTGCTGGGCGATGTGAGGGACACAGCAGTGACAAGTCAGTCCACTGGGTAGACAAACAATGATGGACGGAGTGTATATGGTGGTGGTGGCGGAGGCAGAGGCAGAGAGGCCAGGACTGGGACGGAGAAGTACAGGAAGTTAGAGAAGTCCAGACAAGGTGCCTGAGCCAGCCTGGGGTCAGGGTGTCAAGGGGGGCTTTTCACGGGAGGGCTATCTGAGCCGAAGGATGAAAGGGGGGTGGCAGTTGAAGAAAAGGAAAAAGGTGTTCCAGGGAGGGGGAACAACATGTGCGAAGTCTTGGCCGTGAGAGAGAGCTGGTACACATGAAGTTCATCCACCATTCCTTCATGCAGGCAGTCAGCAAGCACTTGCTTCTGAGATTCTTAACCTTTTTCGTGTCCTTTGGCATCTGTTAAAGCCTTTCTCAGAATCGTGTTTTTAAATGTGTAAAATAAATTCATAGGACTCAGGGAAAACAAGTATATAGAAAAAGTTACTGAAATATTAAAAAAAATAGTGATACAGTAATATATATACTTCTTTATTAATCCATCAAATAACAAGATTTAGCAGTGGCTCCAGTAACTGCTGTCGTTTAGAAGTAGTGATGAACATAAAGGATATTTTGAGACGTCTGTGACGATAAGGTGATATGGGAACATCTGAGATCCTTACTGGTAACAAAGACGCAGATTCTGCTAATATTGTTCTGATTTATGGCCTTGTTCATAATGGAAGGAATTGCTAAACTTCAGTTAGAGGGTGGTAAGCATAGAAATGGAGCCCTGGTGGCTCAGTGGTTAAGAGCTCGGCTGCTAACCAGAAGGGCGGCAGTTGGAATCCACCAGCTTCTCCTTGGAAACCCTACGGGGCAATTCTACTCTGTCCTATAGGGTCCCTGGGAGTCAGAATCAATTAGACAGCCATGGGTTTAAGCATAGAGATGTAAGTGTTTTCCCCATCCAAGTTCACAGACCACCCGCATTCTATCCCGGGTGAAGAGGCCCTGATTTATGGAGCTGTTGCTCCATGCCTGGCCCTGTGCCAGGTGCCAAACGGAGGACTCTAGCCCCAGGGGACGGAAGGATGAGTCGGTTCCCGTGGGAGAGCTGGGTGCAGGAGGGCAGGGGTGCGAGACGGGGCTGTGAGGGGAAAGGCTGGGCCGGCGAGCCTGGGTCACCGCCCACGGGGTCCCTCTTTACCTCAGGAGAAGGAGACGGAGAAGCAGAGGCTGCTGTACCAGCAGGCACGGCTGCACACCCGGGGGGCCGCCGAGATGGTGCTGCAGATGATCAGCGCCTGCAAAGGTGCCCCTGGCACATGCGTTTGCCCTGCCTGGGCACAGCCCACCCTGCCCTCACCAGTCCACCCATTCCCTGTGGACCCAGTGGGCACACTCTCCTGGCCCTGCATGCCGTGGTTTGCACTTGGCCCCTACCCCTTTCACACTTGCCTTGCAATTTCTCTCTCACCCTTCAATTAGCATCACCCCTGCAGGCACTTGCTTGCATGCTCCTCCACCTGGGATGGCTGTTGCCTGGTGGGTGGGGAGCACTGCTTCCAAACTGAATGGACTCTCTTTTGCCCCCCCTCCCCTGCAGGAGAGACGGGCTCCATGGTGTCCTCCACCCTGAAGCTGGGTATCTCCATCCTGAACGGAGGCAACGCAGACGTGCAGCAGGTAACAGAAGCAAAAGGCCTTGGGTGGGGGCTTGGGGTGTGGAAGGTTCCTGAGTGACTCCCAGTTCCCCCTCCCTCCCACCCCCTCTGCAGAAAATGCTTGATTATCTGAAGGACAAGAAGGAAGTTGGCTTCTTCCAGAGTATCCAGGCGCTGATGCAAACGTGCAGGTAGGTTCTGGTGCACCCCTTCTGCTCAAAGCCCGGTTCGTCTAGCTGTGCCCTCCACTCCTGTACCGCTTTCTGCTCCAGTTCTGCTCTCTTGTTCAAGGGACAGAGACGCACTCAGACTAGCCCAAATAACAGGAGCTGCATTGTAAGCATTCACGTGGGCAACGCTGGCCCAAAAGTAAAGATGAGAAGGCAGGAAGGGACAGGAAACCTGGACGAATGGACACGGGGAACCCAAGGTGTAGAAGGAAAGGTGGAGAGTGCTGACACATTGCAGGGATTGCAACCAATGTCACAAAACAATTTGCATATAAATTTTTCAACGAGAAACTAGTTTGCGCTGTAAACTTTCACCTAAGGCACAATAAAATTAAAAAAAAAAAAAAGAATTCCCGAGGAATGATAAGGGAGGCCGAATGTCACAGAAATTTAAGAATGAGAGGTGTTATGGATTCCAGGTGGCTGGAACTGAAAGCCTGTTGAAAACTCCAGGGGAACTCAGCAGCAGGGAATGTGGCTTCTCTCCAATGACCCTTATTAATTTGGCTCTACCACTTTCTGCCTTTTCTTCCTCTTGTCCTCAACCGACTCTCTCTGCCTCTCGGGGTTGTTAGCTGCCATCAAGTTGGCCGTGCGCCGTGGAACAAAACAATCAGAACGTTGTGATCCATAGGGTTTTCACTGGCTGATTTGTGGACATAGATCACCAGGCCTTTCTTCCTAGTTCATCTTAGTCTGGACGCTCCACTGAAACCTCATAGCAACATCATAGCAACATACAAGCCTCCACTGAAAGATGGGTGGTGGCTTTGCATGAGGTGCATTGGCCAGGGATCGAACCCAGGTCTCCTGCATGTAAGTCGAGAATGTTACCACCGAACCGCCACTGCCCCCTGCCCCTCGGTAGCTTTTGCTAATTGATGGTTTCTGCTCCCTCCTTATTTTAGCTGGTACTTGGTTCATCTTGGCCCCACCTTACTTCACAGCCACTACCTCGTCAATTCTGCGAAGTTGATTTCTGCTGCTTCTTGATTCCAGCAGATACACGGTTTACTGTGGCTCCCCAGCTCTCCCGCGGGGGCTGCCGGGCTCTGGAAGAGAGGAGGGCAGAGGCCTCATCACATCATCCCCATCTTTCCTTTCTTCCCCGCAGCGTCCTGGATCTCAATGCCTTTGAGAGGCAGAACAAGGCAGAGGGGCTGGGCATGGTGAACGAGGATGGAACTGGTGAGGCCCTCCCTTGGGCTTCCTTCTCCCGGGACATCCTCCTCCTCCAGGATCCTCACCCACCCACCCACACTGCCCAGAGCTCCCTTCTCCAAGATGCGCCCTCCTCAAGAGCACTCCCTTGCTCCTCCCCCTGCAGCAGTCCCCAGCCCTGCCCCCCCCATTCCTCCAGTGTCCCTCCCCACGGCCCCCCCAGGGGTCCTCCTGCCTGTGTGCCCATCACCTAAGCCCACCCTCCACATGCCTCGAGATTGACGCCCTGGTTGCTTTCTCTCATTAATGTCCTTAATCCGGGTTAATGGAGTCTCCTCTTTGCTGTGTTGTGATGTGTCTAACTTTCTACCCTGATCCCTCACCTCAACCTCTCTACCTCTGCCTTTCTGGTCCCTCTCCTCCGTTTCCCCCACTTCTACCTTTCCTCCTTGCTCATCCGCTTCTTTCTGTCTCCTCATCCATCTGCCTTTCTGCGTGTTGTTCCTGTGTCTTCGTCTCTGACTGTACGATTGCTTTTCTCTCTCTCTGTCTCCTTCTCTTCCTCTTTCTCCCCTCTGTTCTCTCGCTTCCTCCTCCCATCCTGTCGGCTGCCCCAGTCATCAATCGCCAGAACGGTAATTCCCTCAGCCCGCTCCCCTGGCTGCGCTACTGCCGCCCCTTCCCTCCTAATCCCCAACCGCCCACCCTGGGGCTGAGGATCTGGGGCACCCCTTGGGGAGGGGTAACTCTACACTGGGTGCACCATGTGATTGGAAAGTCTGAGGTCAGGGAGTCCAATTTCGGGCCCCAGATTAGCCACTAACAACCCATGGGACGATAAACGAGTCTCTTACTTTCCCTAAGCCTCAGTTTCCCCGTCTGTAAAGCGGAAGCTAGAGAAGAGCACCAAGATCCCTTTCCAGCTGGATGATCTCGGACTTCCACCCCCAGATTAACAGTCCCAGGGTGGGGTGACCCCCAACTCCCAGCTCCCTGCTGTCTGCCGCCAAGACCCAAGATTGATCCATTTAGGGGTTCCCATCCACCAACCGGATTGGATGCTTCCAGCGTCCACTCTGATTGGTGTGTGTGCCTCTCTGCGCCTGCTCCGGTTGACCCATTCACTGTCTAGCCTTCCCTCTACCTCCCCTGTAGCCCACCTGATTGGCTTCTTTCAGATGCCTATTCTGATTGGTCCATGTTGATTACGCCATCCTCTCTGCTTCTCCCGGATTGGCTGCTTTCGAGGCATCTGGGCCAATTAGCTGGCGTCAATCCCCTTCGCTCAGCCCAGCCTGGCCACCTGCTAAGCGCCTTTGTGTGAAAATGACCCCCACCCTCGTAATCCATTAACCACTGGTGCCCTGGAGGGAGGCTGAGGGGGATACCCGCTGCCTGAAGGTCTGCTGGGTGGACACATCCTAGATGGCACACAAGTGGTAACATCAAAGGGACACTGGTGTCGTTGAAAGACACTTGAGGCCTCAGCTTCATGAATCAGGGCCCCCTGAGGTCTCCATCTGCTGATGTCATGGGCTCCGAGGTCGGGACCTCTGGTGTAATGGATGCCCGGGACCCTCACAGTGTCTTTGAAGCGGCGGCTGCCTCTCCCAGAACCCTCCATGCTTTTGTGCATGCGCGTGCAGTGTGCATGGGCCATGCGCACGTGTGAGCTGTGTCCTGCCCATCTAACCCCTCCCGGCCCTGCCCCCTTCCGTCCCCCAGGAGAGAAGGTCATGGCAGACGATGAATTCACCCAAGACCTGTTCCGATTCCTGCAGTTGCTCTGCGAGGGACACAACAATGGTGAGGGGTGGGGCAGCGGGGTGGGGAGGAGGGCAGGGTTTGGGGTGGGTCTGGAAGGGCCGCTTGAGTTCATCTCCAGTCCCTCTCCTCCCCTTATCACTGATGACCTCACACCCACGAGGCCTTGACCTTCATCCTCCACAGGCCATCAAACCTGTCCACCCTCCTGCCCAAACCTCTCCAATTTCCCGAATCCAGGCACTTCGTTTCACTTTTACCTCCCCTGTCCTCATTCATTGGGCCCTGGTGGCGCAGTAGTTAAGAGCTCGCTGCTAACCAAAATATCAGCAGTTCGAATTCACCGGCCTCTCCCTGGAAACCCTATGGGGCAGTTCTACTCTGTGCTATGGGGTCACAGTGAGTCATATTTGACTCAAGAGCAACGAGTTTCGTTTTGGTTTTTGGTCCTCATCCAAAGGAGCCCTGGTAGTTCAATGGCTAAGTCTTCGGCTACTAACTGGAAGGTTGGTGATGTGAACCCACCAGCTGCTCTGCAGGAGAAAGATGTGGCAGTCTGCTTCCATAAAGATCACAGCCTTGGAAACCCTATGGGGCAGCTCTGCTCTGTCTTATAGGGTCACAATGAGTTGGAATGCTTCCACAGCAATGGGTTTGGTTTGGTTTTGGGTGCCTCTGGCTCAGGCCATAGAGACCTAGTGGTGCAGTGGTTAAGAGCTCAGCTGCTAACCAAAAGGATGGCAGTTGGAATCCCCAGCCACTCCTTGGAAACCCTATGGGGCAGTTCTGCTCTGTCCTGTAGGGTTGCTATGAGTGGGAATTGACTCGATGGCATCGAGTTTGGTTTGGTTTTGGTTGGTCCTCATTCAGGCCAGACCAATTCCCCAAAAGCAATCAGCCAAAACCCAATTTGGCACATGACCAATTTGCCGAAACTCAATTTGCCCAAGTGGCCAGTTTGCCATGTGCTATCTTCCCAGGAGCATTCGCAGCGGCTGCCATTATGTGTGGAGGATGTCCATCCTTTGAGTCTGTAGAGGGGAGACGTTACGTGGTGTTTTTCAACGAATCTGCTAGAATCACTCATTTGTGTTGCTTGTGAAACATTTGGCCAGGAGGAAGGTCTGCAGATTCTTTCCTCACTTAAGCAAGCGTTTCCACAATCTTTGTTCTGCTTCAGCCAGTTTAGCAAGCTCAAGGATGACATAGCAAGTTAATTAAACACACGGTTGGCGAGAAAATACAACCTCCTGAGGCAAACACAGTTTAAAACATTAAAGGAACAGTCAAAATTCTATACAGGACACATTCTGACAAATGCCATTTCCTGTGAGAAACATACAGTCTCAAGGTTGTGGTTATAGCCCTTAGCAGGTGATTATAAAACCACACACCACCCAGAAGCTCACCTTCGTGACAAGAATCAAAGTAATTGCAAATCTCACTTCCATAGACTCTTGGCCCCACTTGGCTAATGCTCTTTGAGGTAACTGACTGTAAATGTCTTCCATCTTTGCCCTCTTCTTTTCAACAAAAGGATAAAGCAAGATCCATTGCTTTGTAGGCTCAGAAGCTCTCGTGTCTACAACCAGCTTTCCCTTCAAGGTTTATGAGATACTTTTGTGCCTTGGGAGTCGAGTTTTCTTCTTTTAATTCAGTCTCTGGGGGTTATGACGGTTTTAGTTCCTGGGTCTATGACGTTTTGAAAGGGAGAATGTTCTTGTGGGTGGGTTTCTCTCTTCCAACACATTTGCAATCCAGTCCCCTGCCTAAATTCACGGATTTATTCACTGGCCTAATCAAATAAATATTTGAAAAGTCTTTCAAATCTCAAAGGCCTTGTACTTCTTGAGTATTCACTGCCGCTGAAACCAGACAGGAGCTGGGTTGACTGGGTCCACGTTTGAGCTTCGTTTGTTTTGTTTTTTGGCAAGGTGTCCCTTTAGGTGTTGCTGTGTGTGTCCATTAAACCAAAGCACCAAACCCACTGCTGTCGAGTCGATTCCGACTCATAGCAATCCTATAGGACAGAGTAGAACTGTCCCATAGAGTTCCCAAGGAACACCTGGTGGATTTGAACTGCTGACCTTTTGGTTAGCAGATGTAGCTCTTAACCACTGCGCCACCAGGGTTTCCATTTAGGTATATAGCCCAATTTAAATCAACAAAAATAAAGAAGATAGAAAACTGAGTTGGTGGGAAAGCCTGGCCATTTGCTTATAAAGTCTTGAGTATTTGAGTATACCCTTCGTCTGTGATGTGAAACCAGCAGAGCAGGCATTGGAGTGAGCCAGCCTGATATAGCGATTGTGAAGTGGGCTATGGGGAGGTCAGATGGGAAGAAAAACTTGGAGAAAACAAACAAACCAAAACCCCCTTAAAGGCTGTTAAATCCATCCTGGGCAGCAGGACATTGCTGTAAACACCCGAAGGACTTAATTGAAGCCCGTTTTTGTCTCCTTGGTAATTTGTTGCATTGGTCATTTGGCAAATTGGTCAAAAGAGATGGTTCTCAAATGTGTGTGCACCTCAGAGTCACCTGACGGTTTCCAAATTCTGAGGTGGACCCCAGTAATTTGCACTTCTAACAAGTTCCCGGGAAATGCTGATGCTGCTGGTCTGGGGACCCACTTTGAGAACCACTGCTCTAAGTACAGCTCTTACCTCTACACTCTCTTTAAGGCCTTGTAAGAACAGCCAGTGCTTATGGGGAGCCTTGGTGGTGCAGTGGTCAGGAGCTTGGCTGCTAGCTGTAAAGGGTGGCAGTTCAAATCCACCAGCTGCTCCTTGGAAATCCTATGTGGTTTGGCTTTTGGTAATGCTCGTTGAGTGCTTACGTACCAGGTGCTGTCCTAAATTCTTTATGCATGCTAAAGCGTTAAATAATTTGCCTGAGATCATACAGTTGGGAAGTGGTGCAGCCAACTCCTAGTGATCTTTAGGTCTCAGCTCAGACGTCCCCTCCTCCAGGGAGCCTTCTTTGATCACCCAGGCTGGGGCAGGCATCTCCTCTGGGCTCCTCCAGCCTCCTGGCGTCCCTTCATCACAACCCTGATCGTTCTGCTCAGTATACCCCACTACCACCCCTGCTACCCACGAACAGCATTTATCTTTTTTATTAGTGTTCTGGAACTTCTCAGTCAAACACTAAAATAGAGGGAATGGCCTAGTAAACCCCCAAGTACCCATCACTCAGCTTCAACAGTTACCAGCTTTCTGCCGTACAACAGTGTTTTTCAAATAGTGGGAAGCCACCCACCAGCGGGTGGTGAAATCAGTTAACCTCAGCGGTTCTCATCCTAATTGCTCACTGGCTCCCCTGGGGAGCTTTAGAAGATCTGAATCCCAGATTTCACCCCCCAGTGATTCTAATTTATTTGGTCTGGGGTGCGACCTAAGCATTGGGATTTTGAAAAGCCCCCAGGTGATTCTAATGTGCAGCCAAGGTTGAAAGATTGAGAATTACTAATTTAGTGGGTTGTGATCACAATTCTTTTGGAATTAACTAATTTGAAAAAAAAAAGAAACACATTGCCACTGAGTGGATTCCAACTCATAGGGAACCTGTAGGACAGAGTAAAGCTGCCCCACAGGGTTTCCAAGGAGTGCCTGGTGGGTTCGAACTGCCGACTTTTCGGTTAGCAGCCTGAGCTCTTAACCACTGCACCACCAGGGTTTCCGTTTCAGGTATATATAGATATCATTTTAGGTTAAACATGTGTATTTAGTCTCAATGTAAGATTGAAAAATTACTGCACCAGAATATAAGCTTCATGAGGGCAGGAACTTTGTTTTCTTTCGCTGCTAAATCCCCAGGGCCTGGAACAGTGCCTAGAACATAGTAAGTACATTTGTTGGAGCAAAGAGTAAGTGAGCAAGCTCCATGTCCTGCTACCATGTAGTATGTGCTCAATAAATACTTGTCAGATAAATGAGCAAATAAATGACTGATCTTCATTTCCCCCTGGTTTCTTGTAGGTGCACGATAAATATTTGTTGTGGGGGGGAATGAATGAATAAATGACTGACCACCCCATCTGGCACGTAGTAGGCCCTCAATAAGTATTTATTAGATAAATGAATAAATAGACCTCTATCTTCGTCTGACACATAGTACATACTTGATAGTTATCAAATAAACGGATGATTATATGCCTTCTGGCATACAGTTGTTAGGTTCCCTTGAGGCAGTGCCAGCTCACAGGGACTATGTACAACAGAACGAAGCACTGCCTGGTCCTGTGCCATCCTCACAATTGTTGTTGCTGCATTGTTGCAGCCACTGTGTCAATCCATCTCCTTGAGGGTCTTCCTCTTTTTCACTGCCCTTCTACTTTACCAAGCATGATGTCCTCCTCCAGGGATTGGTCATACAGTAGGCACGCAATGAACACTTACTGCATAAATGAATGACCCATTGCCCGTCTCCCCTAGCGCACGGGAGGTGCTCAGTGAATGAATGACTTTCCATCTCCCTAGATTTCCAAAACTACCTACGGACGCAGACCGGGAACACGACCACCATCAACATCATCATCTGCACGGTGGACTATCTCTTGAGGCTGCAGGTGTGGGTGTGGGGCCGCCCAGGGGTCAGTGTACCTGGTTGTGAGTGCCCGTGGGCGGGGGCTGCAGGGCCTTGGTGGGCCCCAGCACCCCCTCACATTCCTGCCCGCCCCCCCAGGAGTCCATCAGCGACTTCTACTGGTATTACTCGGGCAAGGATGTCATAGAGGAGCAGGGCAAGAGGAACTTTTCCAAGGCCATGTCGGTGGCTAAACAGGTGTTCAATAGCCTCACGGAGTACATCCAGGTGGGCACCGCTCGCCAGGGCAGGTGGGGCAGCCCAGCGTCCCGTGCCCTGCCTGGCGCTCACGCAGCCCTCTGCCCGCCAGGGCCCCTGCACAGGGAACCAGCAGAGCCTGGCGCATAGCCGCCTCTGGGACGCCGTGGTGGGATTCCTGCACGTGTTCGCCCACATGATGATGAAGCTCGCTCAGGTTCGCAGCCCTCTATTCTTTACCACCGGCTTCTGGGCACGCCCCAATCGGGCCGGTTCCAAGTCTTGCCCCATTGGTCAGTTTCTCACCCACGGGTGCTCCTCGCATGTTCCAGATTGGTTCTCTCCCCGTAGCCAAATCCATCTTCCCTCTGGATTGGCTCTCTGGCATGACCCCTCCTTTTCCTCTGCCACCACCAATCAGTTGGTTTCCCATCCACACTTCCATTGGTCTGATAGCTGGGCCCCGCCCCCTCTGGCCCAGGTCTCCTCTATGATTGGCTGGTGTGCTTTTCTGTCTAGTGGGGTCATCTCAGATTCAGACAGCCTTGGGGGTGGCGTGGGATAGGCTTATAGATCAGGTCCTAGGGCTTAAGGAGTGTTTTGCTTCTTTGTCCTGCCTGTGGGAGATGACACCTATCATACGTATCCATGATGTAAGGTCCCTGTCGAGTACCATCCCGCATCTCTAGAATCTTTGTGCTTCACTCTGCTCTACACCCACCCCCATGCGTTCGTGTCAATGTCTCATATACACTTCATCTGTTTGCTCTGCATTTGTCTCCCCACATTGATAAATGTATTCAAAGCCACCATATACAGCTGGGCAGGCTGTGCACTGCACAAGGGCACCACATCTGTGGGGACATCATCCACATCCTTTGTTGTTAGGGTCTTTGGGATCGATTTTCGACCGATAGCGACCCCATGTGACAGAGTAGAAATGCCGCATAGGGTTTTGCCAGGTTTTTCTCCCGCGGGGCCTCTGGGTGGGCTCCTACTGCCAACCTTTCTAAGCAGTCCTAACGGTTGCGCCACTAGGGCTTCTTATTCACATCCTAAACCGAAAACCAAACCCGTTACCATCGAGTTGATTCCGACTCCTAGTGACCCTATAGGACAGAGTGGAACTACCCCCATGGGGTTTCCAAGGAGCAGCTGGTGGATTCGAACTGCTGACCTTTGGATTAGCAGCCCAGCTCTTAACCACTGCACTACCAGGGCTTCAGACACATCCTAGACATCATCAATATCAGTTTTCCAGCAGATGGCAGTAAAGTATTCTGTGTGTTGTAATCTCCCAACGGAAAGTTTTTTGAGGAAGAGGCAGGTTTTTTTCTAATTTACCCAAAGGTAGTGGTTAAGAGCGCGGCTGCTGACCAGAAGGTCTGTAGTTCAAATCCACAGCCGCCCCTTGGAAAGCCCAGGAGGCTGTTTCACTCCGGCCTACAGGTTTGCTAGGAGTTGGAATCAGCTTCATGGCAATGGGCATCACAGGGGCTGGCAGAAACCCTGTCTGGTGCCTCTAACTTTTTGAAAGGGTTAGAACTTAGAATGCAATTCCTCAGTGTTAGTGCAGTCAAGGATGCGCTGTTCGTGAAATCTTAAAATTCTGGAAAATGTTGGTGTTGTAGGGTAGATTTCCAAATCCCATGGTGTTCATCCATCAGCCAGGGCCTAAGTCTAGGTTGCCGGGCCAGAAACCCAAGCAGAATGGTGGCTTAAAGCCGGGGAAGGGAGAGGAATTTATCAGTTCACATCACATATGTGATGTCGGGGAAACGCCTCTCTGCATCTCTGGTCTGTATGTACGTTGGCTTCTTCTCATGCAGCTCTCGCTAGTGCTGGGAAGATGGTTCCCACGCCTAGACTTTCTGCCACCACCTTAGCCTTTCCAGACGGGAGAGAATTCTCTTCTGAGAGCTTTGGCATAAGTCCTGTAGCTCTCTCTGGGTTGAGTGGGTCACACGCCCATCCCTGAACCAATCCCTGTAGCCAGGGAGAGGAAGCTCTGGTTGTCTGGACTTGGTCATACCCATCACTAGAGCCAGAAAGTTGGGGTGAGCCTTATATTCTCTAAGAGTGGCATTGGGGTGCCCATTTGAAAATTGAGGGATTGTTCAGAGAAGGGGGGAATGGATCATGAGCAGGCACAAACCACAGGCACCCCCCTGTCTTAGGCTCTTGAGATGTTGGAATGTTGGAGTCTTAGACTGCAGAGCTTTGGAACTGTGGAAGTGTGTTAGGATTAGAACAAGGAACTCCTCGAACCAGCATTGTGGTGAAAAGGAACCTCATATCCCATTTGTCTGGTATTACCCCCACTCTTCATTTTATTAGGTGGGACCACATGACGCTACAATTTTGTGCGTCAAAAATGGCTGAATGGCGGCAATTTTATGTGACTCCAGCTAATACAAATAGGGGGCCATGAGTCAGAAATTTGAGGCTTCCGAGGACCCTACATGAGGCACTGTGGGAGGGGAGGCCATGGCCCCCACATCGCCCCCGACTGCCTTACCAGAAAGCACATGACTCCTCCAGCCTTCCTCCTGAACCCAGAGTCCCATTTTTTCCATCACATATTCATTCAACAAACTTATGTCAAACATCTGCCGTGGGCCAGAGGCAGCGCTGGGCTCTCACCCATTCCCAGATTTGTCTCTGTCCCCGAGATTTGTCTCTCTCTGTCTCTGTCTCTTTCTGCCCCAAGTGTCTGCTCTATAAGCCCCATGCTTCTCCCAGTCCTTCTCGTCTGCCAGCCCCTTGCCACCACACATCACCCATTAGGCCTGCTTCCTCTGAAGTGCCAACCCCACCCCCACCCCCCATCTTGTCTCTCTGCTCCCTCCCCTGCTTCCAAGGAACATGTTTGTACTCCGGTCCCCTCGGAGGTAAGAGGGGGGAGAGAGGGGCTCTCAGGCCCTGCTGGGTGGATAAGGAGGGGCAGGAGCAGCTGGGGTGGGGGAGGCCTCTCTGCAGAGACTAGCCCTCACATAGCTGGGGTGTGGGGTCTTCAGGACTCAAGCCAGATCGAGCTGTTGAAGGAGCTGCTGGATCTACAGAAGGACATGGTGGTGATGTTGCTGTCGCTACTGGAAGGTAAACACCCAGCAGGTGGGGGCAGGGGTGGGTACCAAGGCGGAGACAAGCCCAAACATAATTCTTTGAGACCCAGGAGACCCTCACCCTCAACAACCTTTCTGATATTATTCAGGGTCAATGGGTTGATGAAGAAGTTGGAATAATAAGCTCAGCAAACACTTATTGGGCGCTTATGTGCCAGGCCCTGAATGTACATGTATTAATTTATTGACTCCACAGAGAAATCATAATGTTGGGTGGCCTGGATACTCTATTTATCAACTTAATATTTCTTTGGAGCCCTGGTGGCACAGTGGTTAAGCATTTGGCTGCTAACCAAAAAGTTTGCAGTTCAAATCCATCAGCCGCTCCTTGGAAACCCTGTAGGGCAGTTCTACTCTGTCCTATAGGGTCGCTCTGAGCTGGAATCAACTTGACAGCAATGGGTTTGGGTTGGGTTAATATTTATTTATTTGCTAAATGTATTAGTTTGCTTTCGCTACATAACAAACCTCCCCAAAACTTAGTGACTTAAACAACTATACTTGGTTATTTCTCATGATTCTATGGGTCCACTGGGCAGTTCTTCTACTGGCAGCATTCATCCGGGCTTAGCTGGGCTGGAAGGTCCAAGATGGACTCATATATCTGAGGCTATGGTGCTGGCTGTTGGTTGGGGTGCCTCAGTTCTCCTCATGATCTCTCCAGCAGGATAGCCTGGACTTCCTTACATGGAGGTTTAGGTCCCCAAGAGAGCAGATGCAGAAGCCACCAGGCTTCTTAAGGGCTTGTGCCAGGGCTGGTACATTGTTGCTTCCACCACATTGTATTGGATGAAGGGAGTCATGAGACCAGCTCTCGTTCAAGAAAAAAAATCCATTGCCGTTGAGTCGATTCTGACTCATGGCGACCCTGTAGGACAGAGTAGACCTGCCCCATGGGGTTTCCAAGGAGTAGCTGGTAGATTTGAACTGTCAACCTTTTGGTTGGCAGCCGGGTCTTCACCACTATGCCACCAGGGCTCCATCAGCTTCAAGAGAAGGGGAAATAAATTATCCCTTTTGATAGGAGAGCTGGCCCGTGCATACAGAGAGGGGAGGAATGGTTAGATGCCATCTTTGGAGACAACTCATCACCCTAAACTTGTGTTGCATTAGATTTTATTTATTCTGAATAGATAAGATTTTAGCATGTTCAAAATTCAAAATAGGACAGTCTCCTTTCCCCCTCCCCATTCTCCAGACATCAGTTCCCTCCCCCTGGAGGGAATTAGTGCTTACCAGTTTCTCGGGTATCCTTCCAGAGTCTATGTCTATACAAGCAAATCTATACACACATGTGTTTTTTTTTGTAAATTTCCTACAAACAAAGGGTAAAATATGATACGTATTTTTCTACACTCTGGTTTTTGTTGTTACTGTTTTTACTAATAAAACAAAGACTTTTTTTCCTACAGAGGTTCATAAAGCGTGTCCTCATCCTTTTACATGGCTGCATAGTACTCCACTGTGTAGGGATACAGTAATTCATTTAACTAGCCCCTTGCTGATAGACATTCATTTTTAAAAAATTTTTTTCTATCATAATGCTGAAACAAATAATCTTCATATTCCAATTTAAAAAAAACTAGTCATTAGCCTTAAAAATTAGAAATTTCCCTTTAAACATCTGGATGTCCAGCTTTTCTTGCAAATTTGGGAGATTTGGTGACCCTTGGCCCACATCCCCACACAGCAAAAATCAGCCGGACTGGATTAGATAACTGTATTGTATGGATGTTAAAGCTCCTGATTTTGATAACTGTACTGTGGTCAGACAAGAGAATGTCCATGCCTCTTAGGAAATATACATTGAAAGGGGCCTCTTGTCTGCACTTAGTCTCAAATGGTTCAGGAAAAAAAAGAAATATATATATATATACACATATATACATACATAAGGAGAGATATAGAGAGAGATTTATGAAGCAGATGGAGTGAATATGGAATATATGAAATTTCCTCACACTATTCCTGCAACTTTGACATAAATTTGGAGTTATATTAAAATTAAAAGGCACAAAGATAAGCTGGAGCCAAGCGTCAGCCACCGCTTTTAGAGGGGATGTGGTATCCCACTTTGCCACAGTCTCCACCCCTCCCTGCTGTCTAACCTTTGGCCTGCCTCACTCATCCATGTACATGCCTGGCCTCAGTGGACTAGCGAAGGGCTTAGGTATACAAGCTCTGAAGTCATGTGGCCCAGAGCTGATAGTCCCCCGCACCATTACTGGCTAAGTAACCTTAGTGTGTAACTTTCGCTGAGTCTCAGTTTCCTTATCTGTAAAAGCGGATAGTCACACACTTCCCTAAAGGTTGTCGTGAGATCGTGCCAGGGCAGCGCTTGGCATGGCACCTGGCACCTGTGTCAGCTTAATCATCCTTCTCCTTATTGATAATCTCCCCCAGTTCGTGGGAGAGGTGGGCAGAGGTAGGATCCTCCAGGTCCACACATGATGCTGGCGAAGAGCAGGAAGTGAGGAAAGCCTTCCGAGGGGCGGCTTGGGAGCGGGTCAGGGAGGCGTCCGCCAGCATGCCGGATCCTGGGGAGCTACCTACGGCTTCTGAGCTGGGGAGGGAGGCAAGCCCAGTGGGCCCAGAAAGGAGGCACCACGGGGCCACGCTGACCAGGGGCTGCCCACAGGGAACGTGGTGAACGGCATGATTGCCCGGCAGATGGTGGACATGCTCGTAGAATCCTCGTCCAACGTGGAAATGATCCTCAAGTTCTTTGACATGTTCCTGAAGCTCAAGGACATCGTGGTCTCCGAGGCCTTCCAGGACTACGTCACTGATCCCCGCGGGCTAATCTCCAAGAAGGACTTCCAGAAGGTGGGCACGGGGGGAGGGGCCGGGACCCCAGGGCGATGTTGCCTCCTGCTTCCTGGATGTCTGCCTTGGCAAGTGACATCTCTCTGAGCCTCAGTTTCCTTACCTGTAAAACGGCTTGGGGTTGTTTTGAGGATTCAATGCACGAGCACAAATGGGAACTATGACTCCTATTGCCATTATAAATAGTTGTAATTTATCATTACAAATACCCGAAAACCAACCGACCACCATCCAGTCGATTCCGACTCATAGCGACCCTATAGGACGGCGTAGAACTGCCCCATAGTTTCCAAGGAGTGCCTGGTGGATTTGAACTGGTGACCTTTTAGTTAGCAGCCGTAGTGCTTAACCAGTGCGCCAACAGGGTTTCCAAATTTATCATTATGAATACCCACAAACCAAAAATCCGACTGCCATCCGGTCGATTCTGACTCATAGCGACCCCGTAGGGTTTCCAAGGCTGTAATCTTTACGGAAGCAGACTGCCCTATCTTTTTCCCGGGGAGAAGCTGGTGGCTTTGAACCACAGACCTTTTGGCGCTTAACCAGTGGCCACCAGGGCTCCTTATGAGGACTGTAATCCATCAATATTTTTCTCCTTCGATGGTGCCCCAAGGACTTATGGGAAGCGTAAGGGATATGGTCTAGCAGTGGTTCTCAGCAAGGGCTGTACTTCAGAATTGCCGGGGACGTTGCAAAAAAGATATGGATGTCTAGCCCTCACTTCGAGATATTCTCATTCTTTTGGTCTGGGGTGGAGACCACACATCTGTATTTTTAAAAGGTCCCTCCTAGACTGGATCTGGAAGGAGCCCTGGTGGTGCAATGTTTAAGCACTTGGCTGCTGTGACCTATCAATCTGCTCCCCTAATGATTCCAAACACCAAACCCGTGGGCCATCGAGTCGATTCTGACTCATAACGACCTTATAGGACAGAGTAAAATTGCCCCATAGGGTTTCCAAGACTGTGATCTTTACGGAAGCAGACTGCGACATCTTTCTCCGGCAGAGGAGCTGATGGGTTCAAACCGACAACCTTTTGGTTAGCAGCCCAGCGATTTAACTACTGCACCACCAGGGCTCCATCATCATGAATAAAAAACAAACGAACCAAACCCATTGCCATCGAGGCTATTCCGACTCATAGCGACCCTATAGTTATGAATAGAAATCAGTTATTCAGTCAGTAAGCATTTACACTGTGGGCACAGCGCTGACTAAGACAGAGACAGCCCCCGTCTTCATGGGGCTTATAGTCCAATGGGGGAGGCCGTCACTAGCCAGACCACTGCAGATCTAAATAATGAGATTATAAGGGGGAAGTACAGGAACCAGCTTTATCCAGGAACCTGTTCATCTCCTCCATCAACCCCTCCCACCACAGCTCTGCCCTTTCTCCCAGCATGACCCTGGGCAAGTCCCTGAGCCTCAGGTTCCTCCTCTGTAAAATGGGGGCAAGATAATAATGTTAGCTACCTCCCAGAGTTGTTGTGAGGATGGACGGTGCGTGGACACTGCCTGGAAGATAGTGCGTGCTCAAGAGATATGAGCTATTATTGTTACTGCTATTACTGCCAGATCGTCTCTATCCACATTTAGCTAAAAAATTTCAGGCTTAGAGAGAAGTTGCAAGAACAGTAGAGAGAACCCTTCACCCACATTGCCCAGATAGTAACTTTTTAACCACAGTTACTCTATCATGATTCCACTTAACCCCTAAATACTTCAGTGTCTACCGCCTGAGATCACAGAACAATTACGCAAAGCAGGAAATTAATACTGATACAATGCTGCTCTCTAATCTACAGAGCTTATTCAATTTTCACTTGTCAAAGAAATTGTTTTTCCTGACAAATATCCAACCCAGGATCAGGGATTACATTTATATTCTGTCTCTTTAAAAAAAAAAAGACCTACTGCCATTGAGTCCATTCTGACTCATAGCAGCCCTGTAGGACAGAGTAGAACGGCCCCATAGGGTTTCCAAGTCTGTAAATGTTTACGGGAGCAGACTGCCACATCTTTTTCCCGCGGAGCAGCTGGTGGGTTCAAACCGCTGACCTTTCAGTTAGCAGCCAAGGGCTTTAACTACTGTGCCACCGGGGCTCCTTCTGTCTGTTTAGTCCCCCTCAATCTGGAATAGCTCATTGGTCTTTCTTAGACTTTCATGACCTTGACTTTTTTTTAGAATACAGGCCAATTGTTTTGCAGAATGTCCCTCGTGTGGGTTTGTCTGAGTTTTCCTCACGATTAGATGTGGGTTAGGTGTCTTCGGCAGGAATATCTTAGAAGTGACGTTGTCTCCTTCTCTGTACACATCAGCAGGCCGATGATGGGCTGTCAGTTCTTCGCTACTGTTGACGTAACTTTGATCACTTGGTTTCAAGGTGGTGGCTACCAGGGTCTCCAACGCCCCTGGGTGGTACAAGCCATTTGCTCTCGGCTACTAACCTAAAGGTTAGCAGATCGAACCCACCCAGCAGTGCTTTGGAAGAAAGGCCTGGCGATCTGCTTCCCTAAAGATTAAAGCCAAGAAAACCCTATGGAGCAGTTCTCTGTAACGCGTGGGATTGCCATGAGTCAGAATCAACTTGACAGCAACGGGTTTGGATTTTTGTTTCATTTTTTGACCAGTGTCTCCGCTTTGTTACTATTGTTCCCTTTATAATCAATCAATATCTTGTGAGAACATGCTTTGAGACCATGTAAATATCCTGCTCACCCTCTAGGTTTCGCAACCGTTGATTTCTTGCCTGAAATGATTGTTAGTGTGGTGGCTGCCAAATGGTGATTGTACCGGTGGTGTGGCAGGCATCACCAGACCTCCTCGTCTGTCTTCACAAGGGTGGGAGAGAGAATTAACACCATCATCAGCCCAAGGCTGGTGATTCCTATGAGATGGAGGGCACACATACCTCCACCCTCCAACCTTTTTACCAATTGTGACACCAGCCATCCCTCCCGCGGCACTCTCTACTTCTCTGCTGGGTTCGATAATTGGTTACAATGGCCACACAGACCTCACAGACAATACTCATGATTATGGGGTTTATTAGTGAAGTAAAAAGTAAAACCAACCCCATTGCCTTTGAGTTGATTCCGACTCATAGCGACTGGATAGGACAGAGTAGAACTGCCCCTTAGGGTTTCCAAGGCTGTAATCTTTACCGGAACAGACTGCCACATCTTTCTCCCCCAGAGTGGCTGCTGAGTTACAACACATGTTTGGGGGGACGCAATTCAATGCATAACAGTGGGAGTGTCCCAGGCAGAGGGGACAGTAAGTGTAAAGGCTGAAAGGTGGGAACAAGAGGGATGGAAAAGAGGCCAGGGTGGCTAAAAAGTGTGGTGGAGGGGGAGGGAAGAGGAGATAAAGTGTGAGAGGTCAGCAGGGGGCGGACTGTCAGGGCCTAGTTGGCTGCGGGGAGACTTTGACTTTTAACCTGAATGTGATGGAGCTAAGATAGAGTTCTGAGTGGGTGAGGGCCGTGACCCGACTCAGGTATTCACAGGGTCCCTCTGGCTGCGTGTGGGGAACAGAGTGTGGGGGAGGAGGGAGCAGGGAGACAGTGAGGAGGCTGCTGTGACGGTCCAGGTGTGAGAGTAAGGGGGGATCAGACCAGGGTGGGGGCCGTGGAGGGGGCAGACGTTATTTTGAAAGCAGAGCCCTCTGGTTTGCTGGTGGATCAGGTATGGGCAGTGAGATAAAACAGAGGAATCAAAAATGACTCAGAGATTTTAGTTAAGCACCTACGTGGGTGGTGATGCTCTTCCCGAGATGGGTAAGACTGTGGGAGGGGAGGTTTTGCAGTTTTTGGGGCACCCATTAGACATCCACAAAGAAATGCCAGGTAGGGCTTCAGCTGTCAGAGTCTGGATTCTGATGAGCAGCCAGGGCTGTGGATGTAGACTTGGCCATCATTGGCGTAGGATGACATTCAGGGCCTTGGGCCTCAATAATATCACCACGGAAAGTGTATTTCTCAAGAAGGGGTTGCAGGACCAAACTCTGGGGTCCCCCAATCTTTAGAGGTCTGGAAGAGAAGGGGGTTTCCACAAAGCAAAGTGACAATAGTCAGAGAAGAAGGTATTTCAAAAGAAGAGGTCGAGCAAATGGACGATAGCAAAGAGAGAACAGCAAATCCCAAGATCAGAGTCCAGGAGTGAATGGAGGGGTAGGGTCCCCGCCCCTGCGGAGCGCTGGGCTTTTGAGAGGGGCAGTGTCACCCTGCATCCCACGGGAGGGGAGGTGGGTCGATGGAGTAAGGGTAGAAGATGAGGTGTTCCTGTGAGACTGTGTCTCTGCGCTGCGGTTTCTACAGCCCTTCATGATTTGCAAAGCATGTTACTCATTTAGAAAGCATTTTGCAAAGCTCTTGGCTTTTTACAAAGCACTTCTTAGAGCCAGAAAATCTTGCTTCTGTTCACGCCCCGAAACAGCATTTTTCAAAGTGCATATCGCAGCCCTTCTGTGGGTCATTAAATTAATAACAGCATCTTTACAAATAAAACTCTGCAGAGTGTGTTGCATAGTACAAGTCAAAACTGGGTCATGAATTGTGTGTTTTTGGTGACATATCTGTGTGTTTTCTGAGTCATATTGTAAATTGCATTCTTACTGCAAGTCGTAACCAAAAACGTTTGAAAAACTGCGCTAGAGAACCTCTTGCAAAAGCACATAGGAAATCAGCACAAGAACGTCCAACAAAAGTGTCTGTAAAACGCAGATTTGGAAACAACCTCAATGTCCATCATCAGAATAGATGAAGAGCAATGTATTTGTTGAAAAGGAATACTATACAGCCAGTAAAATGGACATGTTTGACCTATACATTTAAATAAACATGGATAGATCTTGAAAACATACAGTTGAGTGAAAAAGGCAAGTTTCAGATTAGCAATTCCCTAAATTTAAAAAATGCACAGGATGATACTGTATATTGCTTGTGAAAAATATGGCACTGTGAGCATTTATTAATTCTGGGTGGTGGGGACATGACTGTTTGTTCCCAGTTGATAGTCAGAGGCCTCCACTGCGCTTGATGTCAATTATGCAGTTGCTGGAAATGGTAGTGGAGGTACATGGAAGGGGTCTTGGGCAGTGGTGTCACTAGGGAAGTGTGGGGGGTGCGGACTGTACCGGGTGACACTGACAGAGGGGGTGACACTAAAATGACTGTCTACAAACTTTTTGTTCAGTGTTTCAGTAGAAATTTATTATTTTTTATAAAAGTATCCCTGTACTTAGTTATAACAACAAAAACATTTTCCGTAAGCCCAGCTTACACGTATCTGTCTACCTACAAGGCTAAAACTCTATGCTAATTTACGTTTTGAACCCTCTAATGCACTCCAGTCAGAGCTGTCTTTATTACCAAATTACAGGGATGCTTCAAATCATGCGGTTGCATCTGCACGTAGTACGAGCACATGCTGTTGTTCTCCTTGATGCAGGTGTTTTTATAGTTACTAATATTGTCAGATTTTCTAGTGTTTTAGCTACGATATCGTGATGATTAGTATTTGTGAACTTACACCAATAACTTTTTTGAGAATGAAGTAGAAGTTAAAGGAAAAGAAAGGGTGATGTATGGGAATTACGATTTATGAGTAACATTCGTACAAAAAACATTACTAAGGATTCTGTGTGTACAGGAGGAGGTCCATGGGGGACGGGTGGTGCCCCAGGTCTTGGGGCAGGGGCTGAAGCAGTGGAATGTATCAGTCAAGGTACCAGCAGAACACAGCCCCCGCCCCCCCAAAAAAATACCAAACCCATTGCATTGAGTGGATTCCAACTCATGGAGAAGCTATAGGACAGAGTAGAACTGCCCCATAGGGTTTCCAAGGAGTGGCTGGTGGGTTTGAACTGCCGACCTTTTGGTTAGCAGCCAAGTTCTTAACCACTGTGCCACCAGGGCCCCCAACACAGCCTAGGCAAAATGAATAAACTGAGGAGAGTTTAATAAAGGGAGTGTTTACAAAGCTAAGAGTTCCTGGGTGATGCAAACAGTTAAGATCTCGGCTAGTAACTAAAAGGTTGACAGATCGAATCCACCCAGAGGTGCCTCGGAAGAAAGGCCTGGAGATCTACTTCCAAAAGGTCAGAAGCAATTCTGCTCTGAAACACATGGGGTCACCATGAGTCGGAATACACTCTGGGGCAGCTGGTTTGGGTTTGTTTCATTGTTTCTAAAGCTACTGGTAGGGTATACAGAGAGCTGGTGATCCAGCGGTTAAGCGCTTGGCTGCTAACCGAAAGGTTGGCAGTTCAAACCCACCAGCTGCTCCACAGGAGAAAGATGTGGCATTCTGCTTCCATAAAGATTTACAGCCTTGGAAACCCTATGGGCAGTTCTACTCTGTCCTGTAGGGTTGTTATGAGTCGGAATGGACTTTAGGGCAATGGGTTAGGTTTATGAGTTGGGCAGGGTGTAGGGAAGGGGGGAGGGGCAGTCCTCTGGAGTTAACAGTGGCTGGGAGGGTTTCCACCTGGAGGGAAGAGCAGTTACCTAACCCTGAGATAGAAGCGGCTGTGTGGTGCGGGGGATCAGCACAGGATCTCTGAGCTAGGGGCAGGTCAGCTCAGGGCAGAAGCCAAGGAGATAAAGACAACTCCATCTCCTCTTCCCTGATCCCAGTTGGCCGGACCCCACCGGCAGCCAGAACGCAGAGGCTAGACTCAGACAGCTGGAGCATCAAGGAGCGGGAAGGGTGGAGAAGGAGGGGGGCACATTGGGGTGGCATCTGGAGAGCCTGGCGCGATGTCTTTTTGCCCATTGTGACAAGAGTACCAACTTTCATCAATTCTAAGAGGCACCTTTTGCACCTTGGACCATCTCTGAAATGGAATACATCTTACGGTGGATGGCGACTCAGCTCTGTTGAAACACAGCGTTTCAGTATCTTAGTGACTGGTACAGCCCTACCCATGCCAACCGGCTGCTGTCAGCCTTGGCGCTGGTGATGTGATTCTGGACTCTCCTGTCCTTACGGAAAGTCCATGGTTATTCTCAGAGGTGCACTGAGACGCCTGCCACCCGCTGACCGCCCACCCCCACCCCCCAGGCTATGGACAGCCAGAAGCAGTTCACGGGACCAGAAATCCAGTTCCTGCTTTCGTGCTCTGAAGCGGATGAGAACGAGATGATCAACTGTGACGAGTTCGCCAACCGCTTCGAGGAGCCAGCCCGCGACATCGGCTTCAACGTGGCAGTGCTGCTGACCAACCTGTCGGAACACGTGCCACACGACCCGCGCCTGCGCAGCTTCCTCGAGCAGGCCGAGAGCATCCTGGAGTACTTCCGACCCTACCTGGGCCGCATCGAGATCATGGGCGCCTCGCGCCGCATAGAGCGGATCTACTTCGAGATCTCGGAGACCAACCGCGCCCAGTGGGAGATGCCGCAGGTCAGTCGGGCTGCGCACGCGCATGCTCGCCTCGCGGGGCTTCCGTGTGCCTGGGGATGCCTGCGCCCACGCCTGGCACGCTTGGAGTCCCCATAGGGCTGTGTACGCCTTGCACATCGGCTTTGCACGTCCTGCTGGACCCTCGCTGCACCCAGGCAAGCCTGTGTTCACCCTTTGCACGCATGTGTGGGCCCTGCTGTACCCTTGCACCCCCCTGGCCCACCCATGCCCTCCTCTTGCAGAGTTTGCCCACGCGGGAACGTACACCCCTTGCATATGCAGCACACGCAATGTGCCCTCATTGTGGCTTCTTGCACGGCACGCCTACCCTTTGCACACTCACCCTGTGAGCTCTGACATGCGGATAGCGCTGCTGCAACCCCATCCACACTCTCACATACTCGAGCCTATTTTGCTTGCCCTCCCAGCAGCCCTGGTGTGCCCCCTGTTGGCCCTGGCCCACCCATGCCCACTCCTTTTGCACACTCACATTGTGGGCTCTGGTGTGCTCTCGCATGCTGCCCCACCCCTCGCCAGTCATCCCATGTGCCCTGAAGTGCCCTCTGAGGTCCTAGCACGCCATGCCCGCCCCAGTTGTTCTGGGCCCACACGTGGGTGCACGCCTCTTGCACACTCACCCTGAGGCTGATAGTGTGCCCTTTGGTGCTGACACACCGTGTGATTGCTCACCCCTTACTCATTGACCCCCACATGCCCTTCCTGGAGCTCTGGCCCGCCGGTGATCACCCCTGCACACCGGGGCCACTCACACAGTCATCCACACGGGCGCCCACGCGTCCTCGGTGGCCTGTACCTGCTCCTCGGCCTGACATGCCCTGTCTCAACCCCCTCGCATGCTCAGCCCACAACACCCCTCACACGCTTCCCACAAGAGTGCACACATGTGGCCTTGGCACACCCGCAGCCCACTGCACACACTTAGATTGTGTGTGGCTCCCACCCCCGACTCCGGCTTTCCCCACATGCCCCTTACATGCCTCAGCCCCAGGCTGTTGCCCTGGTGGCCCTCAAGTGACACTGGCCTTGCACGCCAAGCCCGCATGCCCCTCAGGCTCACACTTCTCTTTGCTTCCTCACATGCCCCCAGCACCTGCACTCTCCTCCTATGTGCTCTTGCACACCCCTTTCCATCTCACACTTGTAGCCCAGCAGGCTTGCACACCTCCTCAATAACTGGGCCCTTGTGAATCCTCCTCGTCCTGGCTCACACACACCTGGGCTCCTGTCCCTCACTGAGATGTGCCCTCATTTCCCAGGGCCTCTTATACTGTCTCCTGAGTCCCCGTTGCACACGCATGCCCCCTCACACACAATGACCACATGACTGGCAGGCCCCTCCCACATTGCCAACTCTTTATGGCCCCAGGCTCGCGCATGCCTGCCCGCGTACCCGGGTCCACCATGCACACGGAGCCCTGATAGTCCCACCCTTCCGACATCCTCCCATGCACCACGCCCTCCTCACGCTGGACTCTCCCTTAGGCCCTGGGGCCCCTGCACATACTCCACAGGAACCCTCAAGTTCTTGCACACTTGTGTCCCTTGGGGCATCATTGCACACTCATCCTCCCATCTGGCCCACACGTGACTGCACCATCCTTGCACATGGGACGTCTGGACAAGCCCGCATCAGCCAAAGCCCCATTCAACACGGATCTTTCGCACGCACTTCTTGTACATTCTGTAGGAGCTCCGCTGCCCCTTCACTCCTTCCCCTCATGTGCTCCCCAACGACCCACTCCGTCCCTTAGTGTTGTTCCTCCTGCTTCCTCCTGCTCGCTCCTTCCAGTCCCCACTTGCCGGTGCTTATCAGGCATCCACAGATGCCCACATGGATTCCGGCAGTCATGCAGCGGGATAACAGTGATAATAGCCAGCACTGTGTGCTGTCTGGAGCCCTGGCGGCACAGTGGTTAAGAGCTTGGCTGTTAACCAAAAGGTCAGCAGTTCAAATCCGTCAGCTGCTCCTTGGAAACTCTATGGGGCAGCTCTGCTCTGTCCTATAGGGTCGCTATGAGTCAGAATCCACTCGATGGCAATGGGTTTCGTTTTTTTTTTTTTTTTTTGGTGGGGGGGCTGTGTTTGCTTGTACCTTGACTGATATATTCCACTACTTCAGCCCCTGCCCCAAGACCAGTTTTTTAATGTGGTATTTATTAGGTGACAGGCACCGTTCTAACATCTAACTCAGCACCGACTAACTCATTTCATCTTCCCAACGACCCTACAACGCAGGACCTACTATCATCCCCATTTATCGGAGGGCAAGCTCGGGCCCAGAGAGTTGTCAAAAGGCAGAATCAATTTTGGTGCCAGCCTGTCGGGAGTTCAAATCCTACCTCTGCCATTTCTCAGCACTGCTACCCTGGGCAAGTGACGCTCTAGGCCTCCATTTCCTCCTGTGTCCAACAGGGACGAAGTAGTTCCTACTCCCTAGGGTTGTTGGTGAGGATTAAAATGAATCAATACCTGAAAAACGCTGGGTGCTACAGCGCCTGGCTTCACTGAAGTGCTTCGAATGCCCACCAAACAGAACAACCAAACCCACTGCCGGCCAGTCGAGTCGGACTCATAGCGACCCTGTAGGACAGATTAGAACTGCCCCATGGGCTTTCCAAGGCTGTAATCTTCACGGAAGCGGACTGCCACGTCTTTCTCCCACGGAGCGGCTGGTGGGTTCAAACTGCCAGCCTTTTGGTTAGCAGGCGAGGGCTTTAACCACTGCACTACCAGGGCTCCTTAGAACGCCCACGGGAAGAGCTACATACGTTGGCTGTTAATAATCGTCGCAGCAACAATGCTTTGGGCACTGCCTGCCCCCAAGGGAACGCTTGTCGCTGCCACTATTGTCGCTGCTGTTCCGAGCCCCCTCCCCCTGCCCGCAGGTGAAGGAGTCGAAGCGCCAGTTCATCTTCGACGTGGTGAACGAGGGCGGCGAGTCCGAGAAGATGGAGCTGTTCGTGAGCTTCTGCGAGGACACCATCTTCGAGATGCAGATCGCCGCGCAGATCTCGGAGCCCGAGGGCGAGCCGGACGAGGACGAGGACGAGGGCGCGGCCGAGGCGGGCGCCGAGGGCGCAGAGGCGGGCGCGGCGGG